AGCCCAGTATCCTGTCTTCCAACAGTGGCCAATGCCAGGTGCCCCAGAGGGAATGAACAGAACAGGTAATCATCAAGTGATCCATCCCCTGTCGCCCATTCCCAGCGTCTAGCAAACAGAGGCTAGGGACACCATCCCTGCCTATCCTGGCTAATAGCCGTTGATGGACCTATCCTCCATGAACTTATCTAGTTCTTTTTTGAAGAACCAGAAGTTACCAGGCAATCAAAAAGAAATCTCCAGCTCTAACATAGCACATTTTCTGAGGGCCAGTGGTTTGGACAGAGGATGTGCTCAGGTTTTCAAAACTGGAAGTGGGCCTGTTTGAAACAACTGTTTGTTTTTCCTTGATACTATGTCATCGTAAGGAAATCATGATGAGAGAAGACAATTGCTGATCATGATATCTGCCATTCCTTTGCTGATTTTTACAATTGCAAGTGCATCTTAGAGGATCCTTGAATAGAAGTTTACCAGCCCTATTGGATTACTAGTTTAGAATGCATCCGATGAAGTGAGCTGTAGCTCACGAAAGCTTATGCTCAAATAAATTTGTTAGTCTCTAAGGTGCCACAAGTACTCCTTTTCTAGTTTAGGGGTTGGTGCTCCTCTAGTTGAACTCAGTGAAGCTAAACTGATTTACACTAGCAGAGGTTCTGGCTCCATAATTTCAACATTCTGAAGAACAGTATGACACAATCCAGCAATAACCAAAAAACAAAGTTATTTCATAATCCCCACTCTTGATTCACAGTATCATGCTTTCTCCATAGTGGCCTTTATTAAATGTGTCGAATTTTGCATTTCCTGTCTTAAGTATGTATCACCCTCTAGCCCAGTTTGAATATAACTTGTGGGGCCATTTTATCAGTGTGTTATTTTTAGCACATAATTAAGACAAAGAGGCACAATAAGAACGTACAGATTGCAGCACTTGACCTAATTGTCCTATGTAACTTTTTTCCTCTTGTGCTGATAATTTTCAGTGCAGTTGTCAACAAGCAAAGGTAACAGGATCATAGTTCACGCTGACAAGGCAGGGTATAAGAAAAGTGCTACTTAACCGCAAGAGGAGTGTGTTTCACTTTCAGCAGAAAATGAAGAGAAATATGAGAACCTCATTTGGTCTTTCACCTCATGTGGCTACAATGACTGGTAGTAACTGGGGCCTGAGAAGACCTTGTTTAACAAGCAATACCACCCTTAAGCCAGTGTGACCTGTATGATTGCACAGACTCCTTACACTTCCAGGGACATTCCTCCCCATGTTTCTCAGTGAACCCAATTCCCTATTCACCATTCCCTCTGATTTCTGTGCTAAGAGGCTTGTGGCAGATTCAGGGGCAGATCCAGTTGTAATCACAACAATCAATTGGCTAAGAATTGCATACAGCCTGTTACAGCCCACCCTCCATACATGAATCCTATCCACATGTCTTTGAGCGTTTACAGTCTTTGGGGCAAGGACTATGGCTTTTTATATTTGTATAGCACTTAGCACAAATGGGGCCTGGACCTTGTTGGTTTCTAAGTGCTACTACAATGTAAGTGTTAAATAATGGTTAATAATCCACAACTGGTGCAAGTTACCACTGCTCTTGATTTATACTAGCTGAGGATCTAGTCCTGATTCCCTAACTAAGCCCCAAATCCACTTCTCCTAAGGAAGTCACGGATCTGGCTCTACTTCCTGTTCCAGGAGTAGCTGTGGACTGAGTTCTAACTTCTGAGCAAGCAGAGTTTTTATATTAATGTGCACAGGGGAAAACCCCTAAGCAAATATAAAGAGGATCTTTGTATTTCCATGTCATGCCTTGCTCTGAATGTCTTTTTAATTAGCATAATTGATAACAGTACTTTCAATCTGACAATAAAATAAAACAGAAATTAGTTTGATATTTGATAATGTACTTTAAGGCCACCTTCCTATCTTCTTTCCTTTCACAGTTTGGGGTGTTAGTCAGAGCCCTGCTGCTTCTGGATATTAAGGTAACAGAGTAGTGCAGAGTGGGTTTTTTTTCCCCTGCACTTGTGACTGGAGAGAAAGTAGCAAACTTTTTTCTCTGATTGTCACCACAGGAGTGGATTGGTGCACAATGTGGGCCTGATCCTGCAAACACTTATGCACGTGAGCAGCTTTACGTATGTGAGCACTTGTGCATTAGGGTGAATACTCCTGTGTGGGGCTGCCATTTCAGAGTACTTCAGCTACTGGAGAATGCAGCTCTCTATTTGTCTTGTGGAGCTTCTCTCGTGTAACACATTATGTGCCTGCGCTATGATCTGCTCTGACTTCCATTTTTGTCTCCCAGTGCAACTCAAGGCTTGCATTAGACTTATAATGCCTTAAATGGTGTAGATCATCTGGTCTCCCTTAGAGACTACCTCCCTCCTCATGGGACTCTTGCTGAGTTGCCTCCTATCCAGTGTAAGTGGGTGAGGGAGGCTGGTTAGGCAATTTCAGTGAGGGATCCCATGACTGTGGAGTTCATGTGCCCTCTTGGTATTACACAACGCTGGGTGTTTGTGCTCCTAGGCTTTTGACGTGGGAATGGATCAAGGTGGGCAGAGGCAACTCAGGAGGTGGAAGTGATTAGTTCTAGGGGGTTGGATGGGTGTGCAAGAGATTTTTAAAATTGATATTGACATTGGATTATGCTGTAAATTCTATGTACTATCTGATCCTATCTATATTCTTATAATGCCATCACCACTGTAGTATCTGGCCTCTAAGTTTTGTTTGTGTGTTCATATTGCACATGGGGTGTAGCTTATCAATGAAATAATGTATATATTCACCTGAGGTAGGCTCTATTAATTGTTTAAGTGTGCGGATGTGCACAGGGGCAGCAAATGGAGCATTTGTGTAACAAAGGGGGATCTCTCCACCTGTGTGTTGCTAAGGGGTGTGGCATGGTCTCTTGCCAGCCCTGAATAAGCCATCCTGTAATGGGGACCTGAAGACTGGGTAATAGAATCCTTAATTAACATGAATCCTGTGGCCAAGAATTTCTGTGGAGAGGTAGTAGCCAGTCCACGGAGAGGTTACATTACAGACCTGGGGCATACCCATGGGCTGTAGGACTGATTTCCAACCCTCTGAGCCCATGAAGATATCCACGCAAAGCTTGATCATTTTAGCTTTGTGCCTGGCTAAGGTAGGAGGGAGGGGGGAATTTCACTCTAAATATATAACACCTGCCTACATCAATTCTGCACAAAGCACCCGTGTACCTACTCATGCATAAAAAGTCTACACCAACTGCTAGCAGACCTACCTCTGAATGAAAACATTGCACCAAATACTTTGTATATACATGCGTATCACAATGCTGCACCAAGTACCTGTGAATTTTCTTGAGTATAGCAACACTGCACTAAATATCAGTGTTCCCACACATATATAATAATCCACACTTCAAAACTGCATACCTGTCTTTGTATTTAACATGTGTCATCATCTGTGAACTTAACTGTAAATATCCACAGGGGAAAACTATACTCGCTTTTTAAAAGCATCAGCTGAGAGTAAAGAGGCAGAGACAGAAAAGAAGGGTGTTTTTGAAGAGAAAGGAGAGATATAAGAATATGGGGTTAGGAAGAAGTATATGGTGCAAGAAATTGGGGGGAGAGGGATTAGGGCCTAATCCTGCCTATTGACCTGCACAGGTGTGCCCCTTTGCCCACTTTCAGCCTCACTGACATCAGAAAATAATTGAAACAGTCGGTGCCTGCGTCCCCTGCAGACATGTTTTAGACACACAAAACATAAATACATTTCCCTGGAAGGCTGGGGATTTATTTCTGGAGCAATAGCAAGGTCTATGAAGGCACAGAGTTCCCCCATGCAGTTGTCCATGCGGGTTTGGGGTCTTAGAAAACAAAGAAATGCAAGGAAAATAAATGGAGTAAAGATGGGGAGGAAGAAAGAGCCATGAGAAGGAAGAGTACAGCAGGCATCATAGTGAGTTAAAAATGTGTTTTCTAGAAACTTTACAGCACATGATGCTAGAGAATTAGACTTCCAGCATGCCCGTGAAATAATTTTTTTTTGTCTTTATGTCTGAAGATTTTGTTTTGAAATGCACTAATCTTCTACATGCAGGACACTGCTCCAGGTTTTCCAAAATATTCTGGGAGCGAACAGGATCCGTGCAGTCAGTGCTTTATTTATAAACGATGTCTCCCTGCTAGTCGGAACTAAATGTTCACACAAGGTTTGTGTGCGTTAGTCTCCTGGATGTAAGATGCTGGCAAGAACAGCATTTGCAGGTCCCATGCTTTTGATTTTAGGATTTGTATTTTCTGTAGACTGGGATTTTTTTAAAAAGTTTCTTTTCGTTTAACTTCCCCCCTCCCTTCCTGTTCTCATCGAGGGACAGGTGTTGTTTAACTCTGCGTCTTTTGATCGGTTTCTCAGGGTTCTGCACTCTCAGAACCAAAAAGAAAAGGAGGACTTGTGGCACCTTAGAGACTAACCAATTTATTTGAGCATGAGCTTTCGTGAGCTACAGCTCACTTCTTTTCTTTTTGCGAATACAGACTAACACGGCTGTTACTCTGAAACTCTAAGAATCGTTTCCTTTTACCCACAACAAAAATGGTTTCCAGCCATTGGCTGGGGACACATTTATCAGTAGCCAGCAGGAGCCTCTCTTCCCCCTCCCCCTGCCCCAACTACTTCCTGTTTGGCTGTCATGCCCTCGAGGAAGGTGGCTCATGCACTTCCAGTTCGGGAGCTGCAGGTCCCAAGTGTTTCCTGCTTCAGCTGTGTGAGTATCACAAGGGCGAGCGAATGCGGGCCTGCTCCCTGTCCCCTTGCAGGCTGTCTCCATGGGATGGTGTCTGAGGATGACCGGCTGCTTGAACCGTGTCAGCTGGAGTGGGAGGGTTGTAGGGGGGTGCTGCATAGGAGTGCCAGTGGATTTGGGGTGCGGGGCTTGTGTGAAGGTTTGGGAAGCAAGGTGGGGGAGGTAATATATTTTATTGGACCGACTTCTGTTGGTGAGAGAGACAAGCTTGTGAGCTTACAAAGACGGAGCTCTTTTCAGGCCTGGGAAAGGGACTCCATCCTGGCCTCCCAGCTCAGTGCGAGGTGGAGCAGGTCGGTATTGTAAGGGGCCATGCAAAGGAGAGTGGCCCCTGAACACCTCCCCACTCGGCTTTGCCCTGTCTGGGGGGGCAAGGAGTTGGGGTATCTGAGGGTGCGAGTGAGTGATCAGCGGCTGCAGCACGGTGTTAGCTGGAGGCTGGGGGACATCCGTGTATGGTTGGGGAGGGGGCTGGCAGAGCGGCACTGGGGCACACAGAAGGAACGGGTGGCTAAAGGGGGAGGGTTTCCCCTGCCCTTGGGGAGCATGTGGGAGCGACTGGCAGTTAGTGGGGTCTGGCTGCTGTTCACCTGCCCTCTGACTGTCTTCTTCCTGCGGCTGGGAGGCGGACAGATGTCTCCAAGTAGTGCCGGGGCCCCGATCCTGTGAGCCTGTCTGCATGCATAGACCAGTGCGAGTTCGGGGTCCCTGCTACCCGCTTTCAGGATTGGGGCCGTGGCAACTTATCCCAGGCATAACCATGCTCTCAAGTGTCCCTAGAGCCTCTGTTTGCCAGAAGCTGGGAATGGGCAACAGGATGGATCACTTGATGATTACCAGTTCTGTTCATTCCCTCTGGGGCACCTGGCATTGGTCACTGTCAGAAGACAGGATACTGGGCTAGATGGACCTTTGGTCTGACCCAGTAAGGCTGTTCTTATCCCTCTTCCACCCTGGCTGTGCTGGGCAGCCAGGCTTTGTAAATAACCATGTAATCACAACTGGCCCCACAGTGGAGCACTACAGGGCTTTGTACCATCAGTGGGTGCGGCGCATCCCTGCTCAGAACCAACGGTTTGATCTGAAGGCCTTTTTGCTCACTTTTGGTGTTCCTTGTTGCCTTTCCCCAGGAGCTCTTCTCTGGTTTGCTTTTATTGAAAGCAGACGAGCCCTTAAACTGAAAATTTACATTAAAAAACAAAGCTGGGGAAACCATCTGTTAAAATACGGCCACTGCTTTCACACGCAGCGCTGGAGGACTGATAAATAACAGAGCTGGGCCAAACATTTCAACCTTTTTTTTTTCCCCCACCAAAAAACAGACCCATAAATTTTAGTGAAAAATGTTGTTGTTTTACTGGCTGTAATAAATACTAAGCACAGAGACTGATCCCATCACAATATTCACAAGGGGTTCCCTTCAGCTCACCTACCACTGGACTAGCCGTAAATTATGTTAATGCTTAAAGGGGTGAATGGGTCTTTAATTTGGCTTGATTGTTTCAGTGTTACAAGAAGACAGCCCTCGTGGGGAGCAGGGAAACACTCTGAATCAGAGTGTGCGTGAGTGTAGGAAGTGCAGGGGTAGTGGAGGTGAGTGTAAGCACTTCAGGGACAGTCAGACCTCTGAGGATGGGAGTGTCAAACTCACCTGAGATAGTGGGCCTGATCTGCTGCTTGTGTAGACCACACTCAGCAAAAGTTATTAAAATAGAAATAGCCAAAGATAAACCATGTTGGTAATGACATACATTTATTTTACGCTTCTCCAGAGGAAACGCTTCCAAGTGGTTCAGCACTGGTACCCAAGGTTTTGCTGGATTGCTGCACCAGAATCTGGATTGTGGACTAACTCCCCCATGTGGACCCTGCTGGCGCATGCTAAATGTTCCTTAGTGTGCGTTGATGTCATCCTGTTTTTAGCAGGACTTCATCAGTGTACGCTAGCAGGGTCTACGCAGGGGTGTTAGAGCACAACACACTGGTGTGCTCTACAAATCACACCCTGGTAGTGTGGACTCAGGAGTTGTGAAGACAAACCTGAATATTCATGGGAAGTCCACAGTCTGGATGAAACTGTTCAGCAGGCTAGATCCAGCCCATCGGTGTTACATTTGACCCCCCTGATTAGAGGCTGAGAACAGATTCTCCGTTCTGTTAACAGCAGTGCATCTCCATTGAGATCAGGGGAATTATACAAGGTTAAGTAGAATAACTAAATGGGGAAACAGACTCTGGAAGGCCAATGAGTTTTAAATCAATCTATACCAGCTGCTTGTGGACTTTGCACTGTGTAAAAACATTGCACCAAATACATTTGAATAGAAGTGTATGTTACAATGCTGTACCACATGCCTGTGAATATTGCTTTTTAGGGCAGGGACTGCCTTTTTGTTCTGTACTTACATTGCCTCGTGTAGCAGGGTCCTGGTCCCCGGCTAAGACTCATAGGCCCTGCAATAATATAAATAATAATATACTGAGATATAACAACACCGCATCTCATATCCCTGTTCCTACACATATATGATAATCCACACTTAAAAGATAGGAATACAGATTTTTAACTCTTGTCATTATTGGCGTACTTATCTTAATATCCAACACAATACAGTTTTTTAAAATCAGCTGAGAGTAGTTCACCTTGTGTCTCTCATGGTTTCATTTTGGATGGCTCACCCTCATCACCAAGCTCCTAATCTCTTCCTAACTCTCTCCTCTATCTCTGTTCTGCATCATGGCTTCTAACTTCACCAGACCTATAACCTGGGGGCCATCTTCCACTCCTCCTCCTCCTCTCCCACCCAGGTTGTCTCCAAATCCTGGAGCTTTTCACTCCATAACATTTCAAACACCTCTTCACCGGGGTGAAATCACTCGTCTCTAATCATCCTACTTCACTGCTCCACTCTCCCACTCATCAGATCTTTTTGATACCAACTTCAGCCCCCTCCAGTCCAACTTGAATGCCCCAGCCCTGGTTCTGCATCACACAGCCCCTGCTCCTTTCACTCAGTTTATTTTAGCATTTCCCCCCATCTATACCTGCTTTATCGCCTAGCACAAACATATCTGTGCCTTCTGCCATGGTACCCTTTATGTCTGGATTGCCCTTCCCAAGTCACCTCCCTCTCATTCAGACCCTCCTCAAAGTCCAGAAGGGTCCATGACATACTGACTCATCTTATTATTGTCGTCCTTGTCTTTTCTTTCCTCTCCTCTTGTTTGTGATACGTTGGCTTTAGATTTATACAGTCATTGGGGCTGGTGTGATGGCCCACATTTTCATAGTGAATTGTTATTTTAGGTGTCCAACCTGAGATACCTTAAAGGAGCTTGATTGTGAGAGAGGAGATCCTCAGCAAACAGGTCCCTTTAAGGGGTCTCCAGTTGGACACCTAAAACCATCAGCTCCCTTTGAAAATCTTGGCCTATGTTTTGTGAGGTGGCTAGTCCAGTTTTTGGTTTGTTTACTAATCATTATTTTTCTATCATACACTGAGAACTTGTTCTAACCAGTTCATCATTGCCAGCTTGTGTTTGGGTTCAAAAAGTCTGATCTCCAACTTGGTCTGTCTTCCAGGTAAAAATAGGAATAATGATATTTGGGGTTAATATAGCACCTTGGTTCATAGGACCTGGGAGTGTGTTACTAAGGCAGGCGTGCATTATCATCACTTTTACAGATGGGGAAACCGAGCTTCAGCGGCACGAAGGCCGCACTTTTCAGTACTGTGTTCGCATGTTTCAGTTTTTGTCCTGACTTGAAACATCTTGGCCTTGATTTTTCAGAAGTTCTGAGCACCCAGATCTCCAACTGAAGTCCATGGGAGCTGCAGAGGCTCAGGACTAAGTCGTCTCAAATTGAGAAGCTGCCAGGAAGTGGCCAATCCTTGAAAATATGGTTGTCAGCGACTTGCCTAAAATCACACAGTGAGTTTACTGGCTGAGTGGAAAATAGAACCCAGGTCTCCTGAGCCTGGTGCCAGCTCCGAACGCTAGATCATATCCTCTTCCTAGAATATACTCCCTGGAAAGCCTTGGTACTGCACGGGCAGGTGCTATAATACTCTGCTGGTTTCAGAATGGCAGCCACAGAGCATAGTGGGTAGCTGTGCCAGGGAAACAGCCATTCATTCATATGTGGGCATAGGCTGAGCAAGGAGGCTGTTTGAATTTTAGTTCCCTGCTTCAAAGTTTTTGAATAAATGAGAGCTCACGTGGCATTGACCTGCCAATACAAGTATGGAGGGTGTTAACTTCTCAGTGAGGCCAGCATCACTGTAAAAAGATTGAAGGAAATTATGTCATAACTTTGCTATGTTTATTTCCCAAGGAAGATCCACTCCTGTGTCAGTCTTGACAAACAGTGGGGAATGTGTTGACTTCCAAGTGACACACACTTTTTGAAGGTCATACCATTTTGGCAGTATGATCAGCTGATGTAAGGAATCTAATTGACCTGTTTTTCATTCCAGAAGGTTGCAGCTGACAGACTTCCTAGAAGGGAAAGCTGCATGACAGCTGATCACAAACACTGGCAACCTGTTTACTTCTGGACACTGCCCAAAGGATTGCTCAATCGTCAGTGATCCATTCATAGGTACAGTGCATATGAAATGATGTGTCCCCCCTCTTGCGCATCTGAGAACTCACAGGTTCAGTCACACCATCACTTTTCCTCTGACATCAGCCTCTCCACTAAAGGCTTTGGAGTAAGTTAACCGGAGACTGGTTGTATGGCTTCTAGAAATCCATTATGGCATTATAAGTATGTGGCCAATCGCCACCTAGCTTGTGTGTTTTTCCCCTTTGCCATCCCCTCCTCTCCCTCTTTTTGCTATGTTTTGAAGCGCATAGCGCCTGCATTCTTTTATGTACAGCAACTCGACTGTTGGAAGCTCTACTTGTAACTAATATGACTAGGGTGGAGGATAGCTGAAGTGTGGTGTATGGCACATGGTGCAGAAATGGAATTTTGGCCAGGGATTCCTCGGCATAGTTCCAGTGTTTTGACATGTAGTGTTGGAGTATTAATGTCCATGCTGAGCAGAGAGGATGTTAGTTTTTTTTCAGACACCCTCGTGTCTACCCTCCTGGTGAGCTGCAATGTCTTCAGTTTATCTACATAAGAAGAATGAAGGGATGAGCTGACCCAGCTGCTGCTAGAGGCCTCAATCGGAAAAAGGACTCCAAGCATGTCCTTACTTTTAACTACATGAGCAGTCTAACTTGGGTCATATGCTCAGCGTTTAGCACATGCCTCAGTATTTTCCTGGACTCCATGTGTTTCCAGGGAGTCCAGGTTTGTCAGACTTGATGCTTAGACTTCCAAGTTATCCCCTCTGCCCAAGAACAGCAAAATCTATTTCTTTCGTGCCGCCTTCCTCTTCTTAGACCCACTCTCCCTTAGTTTAATCAATGACTAAATGCTGAAACCAAAATTCTGTTGGGTGATGATAAAGAGCATGACCAGATGAGCTCTTCAGAGTTTGCTTTCCTTTGGGTTTTCATGCTACAAAACAGCATTTGGATCTCAGTAACAGTAGTGTCTCCACTGCAGTGGGGCCATGGAGGGAGATGAAACAGCATCGAGCCACCCCTCAGAGGACAGCAGCATACTGGACCTTCCCTCTGCATACGACATAACAGACAGCTTCCTGCCAGAGCACGGCACTGGGACCAGTGAGGAGCCTTGTAGTTCTGTGGATACTTTTGCCTCATCAGCATGCTTAGGTAAAGACTCAACTAACAATGAATGTAAATATTCCCGTTCTCTCTCTCACACTCCCTCACTCCCTCCCTTTGGACATAGAGACATGTCGGGTCAATATTTGTTGCTTCAGGCAGAGTGTTGTTTGAATGAACAGCAAATAGCGTGCTGAAGTTCGATGCAAGTTCATCTGCCTTCGTGCAAAGTGTGGCTTATTGGAACTGCAATATGGTTCTGTGCTTCCGAGTAAATACAAAGTGCGCTGTGGATTGCTGATACCTGTGAGAGCCGTCGAGAGGGTTGCTGCTTTTTGGTGTCACTGTGCTCATGGAGGAGGGAGTTGCCTGAGGCCAACTGACAGAAAGAATCCTAGCGTTCTCCTAGGCATCAGGGAAAACATTGCTTTGTACAATTACAACCAGTAAGGAAACATCTGCTCTGCAAATCCTTCTACCTACCTTTCTCCCATCTACAGCCCGTGTCCTCATTAAACCAGTGCAGGACAAGTGTTCTGTTTATAAAAGGTTATAGAAACAGGCAACTGAATGGCTGGTTGTGCTGCATTCCTTGTGGATTAGTAATAAGCTTGCTGTAGGATCGGATTATGCTCCACAACTGGGAGACAATGGTTAACTGTCTTGCCTTGTTTTGTTTCTTAGAGGGGGGGATTTCTGCAGAAATGGTCAAGAAACTAAGCTTTGGGCCAGTTCCCACTTTCTGAGCTGCACTGTTGTATTTATCCACAGGGGAGCTGAACTGAGGTTGCATGAACAACTTTAATTCTGGTATTTTCTAATTTTTCAGCATGTGACTTTACAATCTGAGAGTTCATTTAATGTAGCTATTATGGATGTGATATGTATACAAGTGTTGTTCTGCTTGTACTTTCTGAGAGCGACTCTGACCAGTTTCCACTACCTTCGTGTGTTTTTACGGATTAATTATTCTACAGTGGTCAGAGTGCCTTTGAGAGGGTGTATTAAAATACAATATTAATATAGTTTATCGTAGGTGTCACTAGGTGGCCCTGTTACACAGTCTTCCAAGTTCTTTTTCTCAACATGGGAGCAAATGTTCAGTCATGAGAAGACAGGCTACGTGGTGGTGTTGGTTTTGGTTATACAAGATCATGGGATTGGAGCTAAATGAGCAGCAGGAGAATTTGCTCTCTGCCTGGGGCTCTGATTACCTTCAGCTCTTGAAGCAGAGTTGCTCCTTGAGAATCAGCTATTGGTGCTGGCCTGAGATTCTTGGAAAGAGGGATTGTCCTGCATGTTGTGTGACTGTCTCTATTACAGGTCTGGGGCATATGTGTGAACAAAATAAGTTACATTTAGAATTAGCCCTGGTTGGAAAATTTTCTGTCAAAGCCGTTTTTCAATGGGAAATTGGGTTTTGGCCTAAATTAAATTTTCTACAAAAAGTGTTTGCTTTCCTCAGAAAATTTAGACTTTTTCATAAAAAACCCCAAATATCCAAAAAGTTTTGATTTTTGGCTGAAAATGTTTATTTTGAAATATAGCCGCTGTGCCTTAATGGGAGTTGGTTGTACTTTTTGGGTGTGTAATGTCCCATTCCCATCTATGTGCCAGGCTCCCCAGGGGACTAATGTCTCATGATGCACTGTGGAATATCAACAAGAAGGGAGAATGTGGTGCATCATGGGAGATGTAGTCCAGCTAGGGAGCCCAGCCCATAGAGAAGAATGGTGTTATGAGGTACCTGAATTACAACTCCCCAGAGGCACCGTGGCAGCATTTCTGAATCAAAATTTTTGGTTTTCTCTTTATTATTTGGCTGAGAATTTTTGGTTGTCAGTTTTCTTGCTGAAAAGTTGGAATTTTCCACAGAGGAAAAAACCCAACAAACCCATTTTTTGACGAGCACAGAATATCCCCAGATTTGCCTCACTGATTTCTCCACCACTATGAAGCCAATTGCCAGCCCTTGTCAGTTGCCATAGTGTGGCGGAGGGGGAGCACTGATGTTAGAACAGGATGCTGGTGTCAGAAGAATAGGCAGTAATAGGTTACATCATGTGATCCAGCCTGACGTTATTGATTCATGTGATCCAGGTTCTCCCCTCTCCTCTCCCCTTCCCCCCCCCCCGACTTAAAAGTTTGTGAGGGGAAGTTTGTGATGGGGGAATCACTTTACATGTGAACTAAGTGGGGCTACTATGTTGTTTGCTACTTTTAAATATTTCCAGGTAAAATAATTCTGTTGTGTCTTGCTTTTGATCTAAGACCCACTAGCATAGTATTCCTTTGTGCGTGCTTTTGCTGCTGCTGTCGTCATCAGCAGGAGTGACTGCATAGACAGTGCATTGGACGTGGGGCAAAGCTGGAAATGGTTGTATTTAGCCTTTGCTCCTTTCCAGAATGTTAAATCCAAACTGCATTGAACCCACCACTTTCATCATCTATTCAGTCCTGATGCACTGAGGGTTAAGAAGGTTTGTGTCAGTTACATTAAATAGTCTGGATTAAAATAAAACGAGGTGAGGTTGGGAAGTCATTTGCAAAGGGGTTTGCAAATATTTTTTAAAAAGAAAAAAATTATTTCTTCTGTTTGTAGGCAAAGCTAGCAAAATTTCTGTTCACTTTGGAGATTTAAATAGTTAAAAGGAGGTGTTTAACTCCTCTTCCTCGGTCAGCTGTCACAAGATACTTATTTGCTTAAGGGCTGAGCCAACCATCAGGGATGGTAACATCAGTACCCCTACTGGTCACTCACTATATTGCACGTACAGAGGCTACGCACCCAATGAGCCTAGCTTAGCTGTGGTGGTTACTAGCTTATGAGGCCTGGGCAGTTTCCTTCAGTTTCTCGTATAACAGTTCCAGGATTGTGTCTCAAGTAAAATAGCATTCATCTGTGATAGGGATTCCAGCCATTGCTGTGTTTTGTCTGTCAAGAGTAGGAGCACTGGAGGAGGCTACGTGACCTAGTCGTTATAGCAGATTTGGCCAATCGATATTCCTGTTCTAATTTGAGCCTTGATTAATTTCAGATCTTGGTAATGGTAAAGTGTCCACTTGTGAGTCATAGTGTCGGGATGTAGTTCCTTGTTGCTAGTGAAAATATGCCAAATGAATGTTTCTCTCTGCTTTGGTAGAGAAATTCGTCTGACAATGTGATAGGCTGGGGTTTTGTTTGTTTTAGACAGACTGTGTGTCACAGGTTTTCTGTAAAGGTGTATCCACAAGTGCAGGGATTTGTAGGCAATCCTTGTGATGGGTGTGTTTATTGTGAGCTGTTTGCTCAGATCCTGTTCTTCTCCAGCAAGGGTTGGTGCTATTTGAGTTAACTGTTTTGGTGATTAACGTTGGGGTGTAGGAGGAACGTGTGATTACTCTGCAGTCCCAAGACTGGTTTGCGGCGCATGGAGTTTACAGCTAATCAGCCAGCCATGACACGTGAAAAACAAAGACAAACTGCTCAAACATGAAACTTCATATTGTGTTTTACACCAGTAGAGGTCAGATCCTGTATGTTTGTTCATGTACAACACCCACTGACTTCAGTGGGCGCTTTGGGTTTTGCAGAGAATGAAAGATCAGACCCCAAATTCTTCTTCTTTTATTCACATTACAATTGCACCTAGAAGCCCTGACTAGAGCCAAACTGTGATGGACACTGACTGCACATAATAAGACAGCCCTGGCTCAAAGAACTTGCAGTCTAAACAAATACTTATTTGAGTGTAGTTTTTTATACAACTGTGTCTATATAAAACAATGCTGCTCCAAATATCTGAGTGCCTGCTTGTATGGAACAACATCGTTTTACATGCACGTTCGCCTAAGTACATGTATAAAATCATGAACATCTTTTATTTTAACAGGAGACGTCTGCTTTCTAATCTAGGTTGTTTAAGCTTACGTAAGTCCTTTGTAAGTCAGCAAAAAAAAAACCAACCCACAGCAGCAAGTCTCAGAGCCCAAGTCAACTGACTTAGGGCTAAACATAGTAGTATAGCTGTTCCCACTCAGCCTGGAGCCCAGGATCTGAGACCAACCCCCCCTTGCTGGGTTTCATAGTCTGGGGTCCAGTCCAAGCAGGAATGTCTAAACTGCTGTTTTCAGCCCTGAATTGGGGTTTGTGTGTTGTTTTTTTGCAATGTAGTCATACCATCAATCATCTTGGCTGCAGAAAACATAACTGCAGTGAAAACCAAACCCTACATCACAGGGGAACTTTCTTAGAGAATTAAATCATACCAAAGCATCTTGGAGTTACAGTCCTAGCTCTTGTTTCCTCCTCTTATGAAATAGTGAAAAGTGTTCCAGTGTCTCTTATTATTATTCATTTGTATTGCAAAGGCATCTAGGGGCTCCAGTCATGGACCATGACCCCAGTGTGTTAGGTGCTGTACAAACACAGAACAAAAGGATGGTCCCTGCCCTAGTGATCTTACAGTCTAAGTCTGAGACTGGACACAGACAGAGAAATGGGAGAGCAGAAGGGAACAGTGAGAGCATATGGGTTAGCATGATCAGTGGTGGCAGCATGCAGCTTGTAAGATTTAAGTTACGAGCAGCAATTTGCTCTAACCTGTACTATAAAGCATTTTGACTTGGGGTCCGGCTCCTATGGTTTAGGTGTGGGAATGATAGGTAATTCTTCGAACTCTGTTTTAAATGCCATTTGTAGTTTGACAAAGACAGTGGTCTCGCTTGCTCCAATGTTAATTTTTCAGCACACAAAAGTACAGCCAGCAGGATTCACTGTCACTGTCTCTCAGAACATAGCAACCTTCTTAGTGGAGATGTAGATGGAGGCAAAGTAATATTTTTCTGGCATTCCTCCTGTACTGGATTGATATTGACCAGAAGGCATGTCATTCAGCCTTCAGGCATCCCACATAAATATTTATGTGTCCTTAGTGTAACTTAGGAACAATTAAAAGTGTGTATAACAGGGAGGTTATATCATTTTGTTGGAAGGGAAATGTTGCATCATAGTAGTTGGGTAACTCCGTTAGACCGTTGAATCAGCAAAACAGTGCTTGCAGTCACAT